AATGCTGGTCTGGCACGGTGACGGGACGTGCCGCAGGCAGCTGGATACTATCAACCTTTCTGCGCGCGCATTTCCTCATCATCCTCATCAGCACCATTGTCGTCATCATCGATCGCCAGCGCCATACTAGCCATTGGCGTCATCATCATCACCACCATCATCCTCGTCATCATCACCATCGTCGTCGTCATTATCACTACCGTCGTCATTACAATCGTCATCGTCATCGTCGTTGTCGTCGCCTTCGTCATCTTTGCCACCACCATCACCACTATCGCCGTCGTCGCTGATGCTGCCGTCACCATCATCTCTCGGCCGCTCGAGTCGTGAATCTGCATCACAAGGGTCATTTCGACACCGATCCAGTTTAGGTTGCCAAGGTGCAGGTGGGTCGGTGGGATGTTTGTTCGAGTAGTGGAGTTAGACGCTCCAAAGTATTCAAACTTTGATTGCAACATACAGTTCGCGCCACAAAGCTTGCACCACATATATTGTACGACTGCACCGCGCAGCTAGCATTACATGTTGTACCATACAGCTTGCACCACATGGTTGCACCACACGGGCTGCAGCACATACGTTTCGCCGCATATATGTTGCACCTCATGTGTTGAACATTCAGGGTGCATGGATTCACTGCGTTGGCTGAACTTTGGCAGAAGTATTGCCGCCACTCTTACGGCTATAGCTAATGACGCGACAGCTGCGTCTGTTGCTACTACTACGGCTGCTGCTGCTGCTACGAACCATTTTGATGATGCAGCTACTGTTGCGGCGCCTATCGCTACGATTACTTATACGACACGTGCCGCTAACATTGTTTCTGCTACGCTTACGGGAGTTGCTGTTGCTACTGCACTTACGACCCCGATCCTGATTACTCATGTTTATATACTGTTACTCTGCCACGTAGCCGGCCGATGACGATCCAATCTGGGAATCCCATCCGACTTGTCAAACAGCAGCAATGCAACATCCATGTTTTCCGTGCCAGCATGAGCATTCTGTCGCCCATGCTACAAAATGCGTGGCAGGTATGGGGCGGGGCGCGCATCCCGCGCGAATGGGGGCCAGGGCGAGGACGAACCCGCCGCCCAGCAGCCCGAGGAGCAGAAGCGCTGGGCCGAGAGAGTGGACAAGGCCGAGCGTGTCCTGATCTGCGTGCGCTCCGAGGCGCCCGCGCGCTACACCTACCTCAAAGTCGGTGGTTGCTACAGTTGTCCCCGCCCACAGGTGCTCCCAGTTGTTCGTTCCGTTTTGGGGCGGATCCTGGAGGCGCCCCGGGCAGGGGGCGCTTGTAGCAACGCCCGCAAAGGTGTCGAGGATTGGCGGGGGCGTCGCGGTGGAGTTCCGCGACGCCCTCAAGCGGCCGTCCGAGAATGCCAAGCAGGCCTAAAGGGCCACGTGCAAACTCACACATGCACCCCGCGATGCCTGAGGGGGGAGGCATGGTTCACTTTGCTCGGGTGCTGCCGAACGAAGTGGACCCCGCCCTTCTCCTCAGAAATCGCGGGTCGGGTTCGCATGTGGCCTGCCGAGGCCGCCGCGAGGATCCCCCGCAAGCTCGGCGCCGTTGGCCCTGGCGAGACCTGCCCTGCGAGGGGCGGCGAGATGGTCCAGGCCGGCTCCTGGTCCTGCGGCCTGTGGGCGAGTCGTTGGATTGCGCGCGCCCTGCGCGAGATCCGAGGCGATGGCCGCGAGGCGCCCGTGGGCATCAGCGCGATGCGCGCCCGAGGCAACGAGTGGATCAACAAGCTCAAGGGGACCGGCGACAACGATTTGACCATGGCCAAGGCCAAGGCCAAGAGCAAGGCCAAGTCCGAGCCCTTCAAGGACCCCATGGCGGCGAGCCGAAGCGCGCCACCTTCGAGGAGGCAGGCGCTGCCGCCCAGACCTGCGCCGAGTGCCTCCCGTGCAAGGGCGGCTCCAAAGAGTGCCGAGCCTGCGTTGGCGAGAGGTTCGAGGTGGACCTCTCTTGAGCAGGCAAGTTGTAGACGCGAGACTCGAGATTTCTCGAGTCAGTCTCGTGCCAAGATCCACAAGGTCAGTCTACGCGACCGCCCGGGATCACCGTCGTCATCATCATCACCATCGTCGGGAAAATCGTTCATTATCGCCGCCAGACACCATAATTTTACTTCCCCCACTGGGGATTATTATCGGGGGCATTTGGTTCAGGCCTTGATGAGGGATGGCCTGCGGTCAGCAAGTTTGGCTTAGCGTGTCGCTCGGCCAGTTCTGGTTCACCACTCCTCGGCGCGACGCGCTATCCGCTTCCCGGCCGCCCAGCGTTAAAGTTCCGACCGTTCCCGAGCACCCCGCCCCGCGGAGCGGAGCGACGCGCTATCCGTTCGCAAGGGGTCTCGTGCGGCCGGGGCCGCAAGTTCGTGATCGTGGAATTTTCATGGCCTTCGATCGCGTTACCCGTCGCGCGCACTTTCTCAACAATATGGATGCTGACATTCACGTGGGTTGGATTTCCCCCACGAACATCAAGCCACCTATGGGGTTAGTCCGAAGTTCCGAGCCCCGAGGATCTTGTCGCCGACTAACGGGGCCGTGCTGCTGATTGGCTAGCTTTGCAGGGCGCACGAGCTCACAAATTCGCCACCAGCATGTGCGATGATTTCAAGCATGATGTGTCGTTTCGCCATGGCTTCCATTCTCTCAGAGTTGCAACCCCTTCGGAGGTGCGCGAAAGCTTCATCAAAAAGAGAGTTGGGCCCTGAGGATCCCGTGGCCCTACCCATCCTCACCTCCCAACTTGGAATGTAGTTCGCTGAAGGTTTGGATGCTGCGTGCGTACGTTTAGTGCCGTAACTCAGCTTGAACCCGTCGCCTCATATGATATTGAGGCGACCTGATCGTTCCGGCCACTCCTTGCACGTGTCCTGGGCCGAACCTCGTGATTTCCGTGCGGCGGCCCGATCGGCGTATGGCAAGTCTGCGGCACAGGAGGTTTTTCAGTATTTTGGTTCGGATAAAACTGGAGGCACTTAAGTTTTGGGGGCGCTGTTGAGCAGAGGGCCCACGAAATTGCGGGGAGGCCGTCGCCCAGGTAGGCCGCCTGCGCTCAGGCCGCCCCTGCCTCTCCGAGGGATGGCCCTCGGCCCCATGTATTGCCCCACGTCCAGCAGGAACAACAGGAGAGGCCCAGCGCCCAGGCCCTCCTTCGCTTGCCCACTGCTGTGCACGATTTGGCCTCGGACACAGTCCCGATGTTCCTGGCTGCCCCCCTCTCCGAAGGAGGAAAAATGGATGATGGAGGGAGGAGGATGAGTGGGTGGAATACCGAGCAGCAGGAGGAAGGGCAGCAGCGGCAGATTGGGGAGGAACAGCGGCAGAAACACCTCGTGATGAGGAGGAGCACTAGGATGGAGGAGGAGGAGGAGGAGGAGGAGGAGGAGGAGGAGGAGGAGGAGGAGGAGGAGGAGGAGGGAGGGGGAGGGGAGGAAGGAGGAGGAATAGGATGGAGGAGGAGGACGAGGAGGAAACGGAGGAGGAGGAAACGGAGGAGGAGGAGGAACAGGGAGGAGGAGGAGGAGGAGGAGGAGGAGGAGGAGGAGGAGGAGGAGGAGGAGGAGGAGGAGGGGAAGGAAGGAGGAGGAGGAGGAAAAGGAGCAGGAGGAGGAGAAGCAGGAGGAGGAGGAGGAGGAGGGAGGAGGAGGAGGAGGAGGCGGAGGGAGGAGGAGGAGGAGGAGGAGGAGGAGGAGGAGGAGGAGGAGGAGGAGGAGGAGTAGGGACAGTAAGAAGAGCCTTTCCTTTCGCATGCTCCCCGCCGTGGTCCGCGGCCAGGGCCCGCGTGCCACGGTGCGGCTCACGGGCACCTCGCCCGGAGAGCCGCTTCTGGCAGCGCGGACGGCTGACGGCCCCGCTTTGCTGGAGGTGGCTTTTTCAGGCTTATGGGGCTTGTGAGTCCGTCGGCCCTCGGCTGTCCGCTCGCTCCTCCTGCTCCTCCTCCTCCTCCTCTTTGAGGGGCAGGTCTCCCGACCGCCCCTCGGCTGTCCGCTCGCTCGCTCGCTCGCTCGCTCCTCCTCTCTGGGCAGGACAACACGATCCACGGGCCCGTCACGCGCGAGCCCACCGCCGACGCCGGGGGGACCGGCCGCCAGCCCGGCCGCCGTCGCCGCCGCCGTCGCCGTCGTCGCCCACTTCCCTTGCGACCTGCCCGCCCCGCGACCTGCCCTGCCGCCCGCCCCGCGACCTGCCCTGCCGCCCGCCTCGCCGACGGGCCCGCCCCGCCGCGCCCGCGCCCTGCCGCGAGGCGCGTGCTCCAGCCGCGCGCCTAATTCTAGTGCGCGCCGCCCGAGCCCCCCCCCCCGCAGCGCTGGAGCAGCGGGGGTGGTGCGCCGACGCTTGCGCGCGCGTGCGCCGTGGCCGTGCCCTCCTCTCGGTCGCGGGCCCGGCGGCGCTCGGGAGGTGGGCCGGGCGAGGGGCGGAGGGGCCCCGCGGAGGGCCCCGCGGAGGCTCTGGAGGGGGGCGCTCCTCCGGGGAGGGGAGGGGGCAGCCGCCCCGCCCCCGACAGCACGGCCCTGGGGGCGACTGCCGCACCGCCCTGCCCTCTTCGATCCCTCCCCCTGGGCGCGCTCACGAGACGGCTTCCTGGGTCGTGCTGCTTCTTGTGGGGGGGGCGGTTCTGCTGCACTCCAGCGCGTGCGCGGGCGGTGCCTTGTGCTCTCGGCCGCCGTGGATCATGCTGAGGTGCTGCGTCTGGCGCCTCCGGGGAGCGCGCCGCGGCCCAGGGCCCTCGCCTGTCCCGCCCTTGCCACCCCCTGCGAGCAGCGCCGCAGGGGAGGATCGGTGCCCGCGTGCGCGTGCACAGATCCTGCTGGGACAGTCGGACCGAGGTCTCAGGTCGAGGTCGGTTCGGGGGGGGGTACCCTAGTGTTCTTCGTGCTCGTGGGATGTTATATTGCGCATCTTGGGGAGGGTGCCCTCAGAAGTTCTGTGTGCTCTGGCCGGCGGAGGTTCTCTCGTGCTCTTGCAGGGTGCTTTTATGGCCCAGGTCCGACTGCATGTATGCGGCAGCGATTCGGTCCATGGCAGCGGCCTGGGCGGCGGTGTGGATCGGGCGAGTCTTGCTCCAAGCTTCTGGCATGTCCCTGTTCGACATTGCCCCTGCGAGCAGCGCCGCCGTTCAGGATGTGTGCCCACTTGCATGTGCGCAGATCCTGCTTGTATGTTTGCGGCAGCTGCTCCAAATGTCGCACCTTGCCAGACGAGAAATCTCAGACCCCCCAGACTAGCCATTCAAGGGCGGCCTCGTGTCCAGATTTCCCAGAGCATCCAAGACAGCTCCTAGCAGACCCCCTCCGAATCAGCCCCCTAACTTTTATGGTGCAATCCAGAGTACTCGTTCCAGAGTTTTTGCCAGTGTCCTTTGCGTCGTTATGGATCAGGCGAATATGTTTCCAAGCTTCTGGCATACACATTGACATACGGACAATTCCGATTCCGATTGGCTTGCCGTGCCCGGGTGGCTGTGGTGTTCCTTCTATGCGTCTTTCGTTATGTGGAGCTATTGCGTTCTGCTGTTTGTAGCTCTCGAGTCTGCTGCGGACACGGGCGATTTTCAAGAGGTGGCTTGTAAACTATAGCTTCGGACACGCAGCTTGCCTTCATAACGCGCGCTGCTCATGCCGCGTTTGTGCCCCTTGGATTGTAGGGTTGGCTGCACTCTCTGGTAGTGGCACTGCGTCCGATCCATTCGAATGCCCTGTCGATATCCTCCCCTCTCCATGCTGTTGCCTGGCCTCTGCCTCTGCGCATGCTGCTGCTTTCGAGGGAGAGAGGAAAAGTGTGTGTGTGTGTGTGTTTTTGCTGCTGCTCTCCGAGAGCCTGTGCAGCGTTGTGGCTGGCACCATGGGCTTACGGCTATGACATGCTAGCTGCCGTACCCGCCAGGGTCTTCTGTTCCTCGTCCTTCGTCGGTATGCCCTTACACATCTGCCGCTGTGGGCGCGTCAACCGCTACGTTTTGGGTCGCACCTTGTCCTCTGCCTTTGTGCCTCCGTCCTCCTTGTTGTGCTCTGCCAACTCCGACACTTGCAAGGCCGCAGCGACATTTTCCACGTGCATGAGCGATCCCATGTTTTTCTGCATGTGCTTGCACCCATCCGATGCACCCATCTGCTACGCCAGCTGCCGCTTCGCTGAAGCATTGCCCGGCTTGGCGCTTCGCGGCGGTGTCGTCACCCCACCGCTGGACGAAAGAGTGTGTACTTGCTGCCGCGCTTACCTGGTGTCTTCATCAACCCGTCGCCGCGTCAGAGGGCACATGCGTTTTTCCCAACCGTCCTGTGGTGTTGGGTCCTCGTTTTGAAGAGACAGCGCCCCGCGTCCCTCCTCCTCCTCATCCTCCTCTCCTCCTCCCCCTTCTCCCTCCCTCCGCCCTCCTCCCGTCACCCAGGCGCCGTGTGGGTTGGAGAGTTTGGCCGAGCGGTCGCGCGCAGCCCCACCCCCCGCTTGATGGCAACAGATCGCACCCGAATCGAGCTGGCGGCCAGGCGATGCTACGAGCGACTGGGTGGAATCCTATGTGGGCTTCGCGGAGCCGCCTTGAGGAGATAGTGCAGCACACCTCTTCCTTGGACCTGGTCGCGCTCATCGGCACGACATCATGCAGAAGGGGGGCCGAAAACGTTCTTGTCTCTTCTGTGCAGGGGAGGAGGGTCTGCGAGTGTGCCGTTGTTCCAGGAAAGTATACCAATAGGAGTGCGGGAGTGATGATCACCGTCGGGGGTCGGTATCGTGCAAAGGATGTCATCAGAGCATGGCCGAGCCCGAAGTTCGCGGGGGGGGTGAGAGCGATAGCAATTCGTATCAAGAAGGGAACGGTTGATACATTTGCGATGGCAGTGTATATTCCCCCTCAGACTCGGAAGCAGGGTGACATCGCACTCTACATGCAGACGGCACGTGCTTTGCGAGACCAGGTGCATGAGATTTTGATTGAAATCCCAGAACGTTGCCAGCCGCTCAACGTTGCTCATGCTAACGATGGGATAGGTCTTTCTCGTGAGAGCGGCAGCTGGCAGCGGGCAGTGAGTGAGGCGATCGGCCCCGCAGTCACCCGAGAGGCACGTTGACGTGGAGCAGGTGAAGAGTTACGCTTGTTGGTAGAACGACACCATCGGATTGTTGCGAATGGTCTTGGGCCCAGAGCATTTACGTTTCATGGACCATCAACATGCAGTTATGATGTTTTTTTGTATGGTGGCTTGTGGCATCCAGGAAACTATTGAACGCCGTCTTCCGTTGCACAAGCTCGGCAGGACATTGCAGGCAGTGGAGGGGAAAAGGGCCACGATGTCACCTTCCTTTGTATATGGCGGTTCATTGGCGTAAAGACTGGAAGCAAGGAGCGCCCTCTCTACCTCTCAACTGGGATCGCGACGAGCTCATGGACGGCTTGAGGTGCGGCACCGACAAGCTTGAGTTAGTTGAGGGCGGTGTTTGAGAAACTGAGCAACACTGAGAATTATTTGACTTCTATGATGATGAAGCCGAACCCTGAGCTTTTAGTTTTCCGGAAAAGACGATTGTGCAATGTGGACAGGAATATCCAGAGAAGCTTGGTTTCGACCACGTACCAGCAGGCAGCGGATCGCAGACGTGACCTGTTTACGGAAAGAGGCAGATTGCGGGCTTTGGTTTCGACTGGACTTGACCTTGAGGAAGTTGAAGCTGAGTTGCAGCGATTGAATCAAAACATGAGGCATGACCTACAACGAGAACGGCGACGACGGCGTGAAGGATTCGAGCAGGAGATATAGAGGCATGGGAACGGAGGCAGGCTGCAGTGGCGATGAGCTTGTGCAGAACAACAGCCAGATGCAGGTTCGGACCAGGGAAGACAGACCCGATATTGTTTCAGGGTTCCTCTCCGACGGTGGCAGAGTGGATATCGGTTTGGGAGAAACGTGGACGAGACGGAGGGGTGAGCGCTGCGGAGAACCAATGTGGGAGCTGGTCAACGCAGCAGCTCAGCGAGAAGACGACTCGCCCGACGGAGTTCCACGCCAGCGCAACGGAAGGTTACCACGACCGCGTAGCGCTCCGATCGAGACGTGCAACGCGACGCGGAGCAGCACCAGAGGGGACTGCGCTATTTGCATCCGTTGAGGCAGAATTCTACACGGCATCGTCGTGGGTTTGGTTGTCGTGTGGAGATTCCCGGTATGGCTATTAGCTCTAGATTCCATGATTGCTGGATCTCGTAAAACCCGAAGAAACAAAGAGTTCCAGTATATTGGCAGGGCAGTTGGGGATGCGCTGGGGGGGGGGGGGGGCCCAACGAGCCTGGGCCGCCATGCGAGAGAATTGTGCGTATATTACCATCGCTGGCAAATATGTACTACGCAGATGTCCTTCGAGTACCAGCGGACCCCTTCGACCGCGGATTAATGCGAGAGAGGAGGAGAGAAGGCGTGACTCTGGGGGTTCAAGTTGTGAGCTGGCGGCCGGGGCACAGTGGATGTTCGTGCATGGCAAGTCTGAAAGATTGATCTAATGCGCTTGCTTGCGGGGCGCGGGATCAGCTCGAGCGCGCGGTGAACCGGCGTGCGCGGCCGGAGAATCGCAGACGCGTTGCGCAGAGATTAGTCGAGGCAGCAATGGACCTCTCCAGCTCAGAACTGGAAGTGCTTGCGAAGGGGGGAGAGGGAAGGCTCATGGGCGACCCCTTCTCAGTGCTTGTTTCCAGGCGCGCTTCGGCGCCCCGTCCTTGCTTGGCTTGATCAGTTGAAACCCGTGGCCATGAGTTCTCTTTCGCGCAGATGGCAGAACGCCGTTGTGGATCTTGCCCTTTGGAAGTTTGCTGGCGATTTGTGGATGTTCGACGCGGCGCCGCCCGAGTGCCAGTTGAAGGGCGCTGCAATGCTGCTAATTTTCGCCGACTCAGTGGCGGGCGCGGAGCTGGCCAAGAGAGGCTGTGCCCATCACGTTTCAGAGCAGGAGTTCTCGGCGAAGATCCAGGGGGCGGATGCTGCGCGGTGTAGGAGGTGGTTATCAGAAACACGCCCGTGAAGCTCTAGGAGGTAGCCCGCAGCAGGGGGCCGGGCGCTCGGGGCCGAGAGTGTCGCTGGACGGGGGGGCGGGAGTGGAGCTGCAGTATCGGACGAGGTCGGCGGCCGGTGCTTTCTGGAATCTCGGGGGAGTTCGACAACTTTCATTGCCGTGGAAATCTAAGCGACGCCCGTTGATTCGTCTGCCGCAGAAATGCTTTCCTGAATGGCGCGTGCGCGGCTTCTGTGTCCTCGCCGCGCGTGCCGCCGTCGCGCGTGCCATCGCGCCCCGCTCGGTGCGCCGTGCGCGGCGGTGCGTTTCAGGGGGGGCTCGCGGCCGCCAGCCACCTCGCCCTTGGATTGGCCCGCGGCGCGCGCCCGACGAAGGGGAGAGCGACATTCCGCCCATTGTTGGAGCCCGACTCGTTCAAGTTGCACTGCGCAGGGCCGCGTCTGATTCCCCCGAAGCTCTCCGTGTGTGCGTGTGCTCGAGCGCCCGCCGCGCCCCGTTCGCCTTCCTTTTGCGGTTCGACCGCGGTGCGCCGCTCGGGCCGTCGGCGTGGCTGAAGCGAACCTCGTCTGCGGCCGCAGGAGTGAGCGACCCAAAGAGGCTGAAGGAGGTGAGGGAGGCGGCGGGGACAGGAGGAGCTGTCGCCCTTGGAGAATTGACGATGATCCTCGTTCTTGCGCTGGCCAACTCGCGACAGCCCGCGGGTCTGAGTGGTGCCGTGCATATGGCCCATGAGCCGGAGTGCAAGGGCGGGGGCGAAGGTCTTCGCGCGGCGTTGGAAGGAGCAGGCAAGGCTCAGGACGAAGAGTCAGCCCGGTTGAAGCAGGCGAAAGAAACAGGATCAACTAACGGATTTCGATGCGCGAAGCCCACCCCACGCCCGCATCTTCGTGGCTTTCGCGACGCAGGTAGATCGCGGCCTAGGAGTTCGAGGATATGGCGGCGATCAAGGAGCTCGGAGCGCGGATCGTGCCGAAGTCCGCCGCGTGTCAAGGGGAAGAGGAAGAAGGGCCCGTCGGGCCCAGTGGGGAAGGGCCGCCTCGCGGCGGCGTTCGATCGCTCGGGTCCCGAGATGGTCGCGTTCGAGAAGCTGTGCTTGGCGGTGGTCGCGCAGCGCATTAAGGCGCCGCGCAACGTGGGCTCCGCGGCGCTGGGCCCGCTCGAGAGGGGCGCCGCTCGTCCCCTCGCCGCCCTGTCGCGAGCCCTGGCCCGACAATTTCGCCAGGCCCTGCCGGGCGCGGTCAGGCGCTTCCTTGTTGCTCTCAGCAGGCCCCCGCGCTAGTTAAAGCAGAACCCCAGCGTGACGGGGCGGGGGGCGGGGGTGAGGCCTGCTGCTGCCGCTGCTCGGGGGAGGGGTGTGAACGGCTCTGGGTCGAGCGTTGTGGCCGCCAGCGCCGTCGGACCTCGCCCCCCCCCCTCCCTCCCCGGCGCTGGCCAAGAGTGCCAGACCTCAGGGGCCCATGAATGCGGGGCGGGTGCCCCATAATTGTTTGTCAGGTTTCCGGACTTCTGAGGCGGTCCCAGACAGTCGAGCGCGAAAGGCGCCCACTGTTGTGTTGCAGAGTAGAGAGAGAGAGAGAGAGAGAGAGAGAGAGAGAGAGAGAAAGAGAAAGAGAAAGAGAATTCAGGGGCGTGGAAGAGCCCGTGGCCTTGTTTCTTCGGAGGGCCCCGAACCGAACGCGCTAGCTAGATGCTGCGCTACTGGTCTTAATGAGGACCCTTCAGAGTTCTCAGTAGTGGCGGCGCTCGTCCATGACAGGCTGTGGTGACGTTCTGAACTCCGTGGGCTTCGTTCGTTCGTTCCTCCCGTCGCCCCCCTCACTTGAGCACGCCCCTCGCACGTTTCGTTGCCCCATTGTGAGCTCCACCGAAGGCCCACATGCCAGCGCTCGGAAGCGGCCACCGCGCCCATGTTGGCACACCCCTCACGCGTTTCGTGGCCCCATAGGGAGCGCCACCCAAGGCCCAAATGCCAGCGCTCGCGTGCGGCCACCGCGCACATATTGGCACATCATTCGCACGTTCCGTGGCCCCATAGGGAGCTCCACCGAAGGCCCAGATGCTAGCGCTCGCATGCGACCACCGCACCCCTCACACGCTTCGTGGTCCCATGGGGAGCTGCACCGAAGGCCCAAATGCCTGCGCTCGCATTCGGCCACCAGTCCCACTTCGGCACACCCTTCACGCGGTTGGTGGCCCATAGGGAGCTCCACCGGAGGCCCAGATGCTAGCGCTCGCATGCGACCACCGCAGCCATTCTGGTACATTTCACACGCTTCGTGGCCCCATAGGGAGCTCCACCGAAGGCCCAGATGCCAGCGCTCGCATGCGGCCACCGCGCCCATACTGGCACACCCTTCGCCAGCGCTCGCATGCGGCCACCAGTCCCACTTTGGCACACCCTTCACACGGTTGGTGGCGCATAGGGAGCACCACCGAAGGCCCAGATGCTAGCGCTCGCATGCGACCACCGCACCCATTCAGGTACACCTCACAAGTTTCGTGGCCCCATAAGGAGCTCCACCGAAGGCCCAGATGCCAGCGTTCGCATGCGGCCACCGCGCCCATATTGGCACACCCTTGGCACGTTTCGTGGCCCCATAGGGAGCTCCATCGAAGGCCCAGATGCTAGCGCTCGCATGCGGCCACCGCATCCATTATGGTACAGCTCTTAAGCGTTTCGTGGCCCCATAGGGAGTTCCACCGAATGCGGTGCATACAGTGATGGTACCCACAACTGCATATGGTTGAGCCCTTCGCCAAACTAAGTTGCGAGTGTGTGTGTGTGTGTGTGTGTGTGTTTGTGTGTGCGTGTGTGCGTTTGTGTATCTGACCACCTCCTGGGGGATCGGTTTGCGGACCTCCACAGGCGGCGGATCTGGACATACTCCCTGGGGTCAGATTGTGCCCGTATCCACCGCCCCCTGGTGCACCAGGACGTCGGTTCCCAGGTGGTGGATATGGATACATTCCCGCCTCGCACTTTTGCTCTGCTCGCGCTGGCTCGCCCTCCGAGCCGGGAGAGCACGGCCCCTGCTCGAGCGCGGTCGGCACGGGTCTGGTCGTGGTTTGGGCCCGCGCGCCCCGCCTGTGCCGCTCGACCGCCCGGCCGTGGCTGCCACGATCGAGCTGCACGCTTTCCCCGCAGGGAAAGAGCTGTGGATCTCTCAAGTTCAGAGGAGGGCAAAAGGTACCCATACCGCTGTCCTTCGCCCGTTTTCCCCTGTTTGGTCCTCCTGGCAGGCCCTCGTCGCCACCGCTGGTCTCGCCTGGCAATCCTGGTCAGAGCGCACACCGGGAGACGCCCAGGGAGCGGCGGTGTCGGTACCTTTTGGCTCCTCCAAAGATCTGTTGGTTTTTCAAGCGAGATTCCGGGGGCCAGTCTCCCTGCTCCGCCGTCCTGGGTTCAGTGGAGAGCCCTCGACTCGTTGCGTGCCTGGAGCGAATCTAGACCGCAACGCGCCGACATTTCATGCATTCGCCTCGCTCACTCCGCCGGCTCCTATTGCATCGCTGATGCTGTATGATGTTGGTGTGCTCGCGAGCGAGAAAGTGAAGGACGATGATGCTGTTGCTGCTGCTGCTGAGGAGGAGGAGGAGGAGGAGGAGGAGGAGGAGGAGGAGGCCTCTCGATGGCTTCTTGGGGTATTTGTGAGGCTTCTTTGGTCTCTTGAAAGGCCTTTCGGCGTCCTCTTGGGCGATATTTTCGGGATCTCCTGGGGCCTCTTGGGGGCCTCATGGTGCCTCTTGGGGGTTTCATTTGTGCCTCGTGGGGCTTCTTGGGGACCTTTTGGGGGCCTGCTGGCGGCCTCGGGGGCCATCTTTCGGGGAAGGGTTCGGCATGCCAGTTCGGATTCGCCATCTTGAGGCTCTCCTGGGAGCCTCTGGAGCCCTCTTTGGAGGCCTCTGGGGCTGTTTTAGGGCCCTCTTGGGCTGTCTTGGCGCCGTCCTGGGAGCAGCTTGGTCTGACGTGGGGCGATCTTGGGGGCCTCTTGGGTCGTCTTGGGCGGTCGGAAGCCCGAAAAGGCGGTCACGCCAAAATCTCGCCAACAGAAATTCAGCCTTTGTGGGCCCTCTGGGGGCCCTCTTGGGCCTGTCTGGGACCATCTTGGGGCTATTTTGAGGCCTCTTGGGGTTGTTTTCGGGCCATTTGAGGCCTGCCAACTATTGATCACGACTCTTAGGTCCTCTTGGAACCCTGGGACGCTCCTGGGACGATCTTGAGGGGCCCGACGACTGCTCGCGGGAGTTCTGGCATATGACACCGAACGCCCGGGAGTTGCCCAGGAGTTGCCCGGGACCTGTCTGGGCATTGCCGGGAGTTTTTTTCGTCCAGGGACCCCCAGGGGCCGCCACGCGCGCGCGGACTCGAGATACAAGTCACTTGTTGCCAGAGATTTTAGCACGCCTTTGGCCCGTTAGGCTAACGAATTGTGTGCCAGGGCCTGCCAGATAGCTAAACCATGGCCCCATTTCTAACATCCGCTCATGAGGCTTCGCTTTGCATGGCTTCTAGCGTAATCGTCCCCAACGCTCTCCTCGTCATCGCACACCGTGCCATTTTTTCGACAGGCTCAAGGCAAGCGCAGGCGATCTTGACTACCATGGGCGGGAAGGGGAGCCGCTCGCTGAAGCGCCCCGAGCAGCAGGATGTGGAGGCTCCTCCCGAAGCCGGCGAGTCGAACCAGGCTCCTCCCGACCCCGTCGGCGAGCCTGCCACGAGCCTCCTCATCGTTGACGCCGGCGCGGAGGACGGTGCCGGCGCGGTTCCATCGCGCTCAGCGCCTTCCGCTCCCGCTCGCCAGAAGAAAGTTGGGCCTTCCACCAAGAAGGCGCGAGCTTCGGGGCGGCGCGACGGCGACGCCAGGGTCAGATGGGTGCGTGTTTCAGGTGCGTCTGGGGAAGAAGAAGGGGGGGCCACCTCCAGCGAGGAGGTTCACGATGCCTACCCCAAGCTGGGGGTAGGGGATGTCTCGAGCGAGAGGGGGGGGGGCCACACCAACAGGGAGACCCCCCCCCTGGCTCCTCGCACTGGTGGTCCCTGGTGGTGGTGGTGTCGCTTTTTCTTGTTCCTAGGTGCGGGCCTTAACTACGTGAACGGAGTCTACCGCCAGGTCGCGGACTTCAACGACGCGGAAATGTTCATAAAGGTTGAGGAGAAAAGGGGGTGGCTGTTCAGCCCTAGGGCCCCTAGCCCTGCTGTCCACATCCGCCTGCAGGGTGAAGCTGCGCCACACGTCTGGGTCATCACGCTGTCTCCAGAGCCAGGCTCGGGCAGTGACCACTTGTACAAGCGGGAACAGGTGAGAAGCACGCAGGCGACCCCGCCGCTCATGGGCTGGGTGGCGTGGACGGATGGGGTGCCGAAAGATCGTGCGGACGAGCTCGCCAAGGGTTTTCCTGAGCTCGAGTATTACAATTTCCCGCCTGGCTCGACAGAGGGTAAGGAACTAGGACCCATCGAGCGCGGAGGATCGTCTCCTCGGAGCGCTCCCAGCATGAACCTCACGGTTTGCATCATTGGCGCGACCAACCTTCCTGATGCTGTCCACGTAGCTTACGATACTTACTGCGTGTGCGAGGTGCGCGGCAAGACCGACGTCATCGAAACCCCTCCAGCACAAGGCTCGAACAATCCAGAGTGGATGTTCACGTCTCCGCTTGAGAGCTGGGAGCCGAACGATGACTTACACTTTGCTGTGTATATCGATAGCGGTGTTGCCATAGGTGAAGCCACGCTGGGGCATGATAGATTGCGCGGAAAAGGTTTTGTCGGAGAGATTCCTTTGATGTTGCTCGACAGCAGCGACAATAACGACCCCGACGCCAAGCTGAGCGACAGTAACAACCCCGACGCCAAGCTGAACATCTGCATTACGATGCCAGGGCAAGCTGCCCCAGACATAGAGGTCGAGCTCCTGGAGGAGCCGAACGCGACAATGGGCATCGACATTGCTCCTGAGTGGAGCCAGGGCTCCTTTTCCATAAGGAAGATCCGGGAAGGAGGGCTCGTCCACAAGTGGAACCAGGCGCACCCCGATCGGCGCGTCATGCTCCGCGACAGGGTCGTCGGGGTCAACGGGAAGTCGGGCAGCTGCCACGACCTCCTGTCGTCTCTCACGGGCCGACCACAGAGGACGAGGACGACCAAGCTGTTGATTCAGCGCAACACGTCGCGCTAGCCAGGCTGGCCTGCTGCCCTGCGTCTTTAGAGGAACGAGCAATGACATAAACATAATAACTCGGAGGTCCGCGCAGATTTCTCGGATCGGCGCTCCGCGCGGACCTCCGAATTATTTTGTCTATGTCATTGTTCGTTCTCCTATGTGTCTTGCCCTCTGCAGAGGGCACTCAGACCACCACCGCCATGCCTGGCAGGGGCCATCCTGAGCCCCAGCACGGTGAGGAGGAGGAAGAGAGAGGAGGAGGATGAGGAGGAGGAGGAGGAGGAGGAGGAGGAGGAGGAGGAGGAGGAGGAGGGAGGAGGAGGAGGAGGAGGAGGAGGAGGAGGAGGAGGAGGAGGAGGAGGAGGAGGAGGAGGAGGAGGAGGAGGAGGAGGAGGAGGAGGAGGAGGAGGAGGAGGAGGAGGAGGAGGAGGAGGAGGAGGAGGACCACCACCGCCATGACTGGCGCGGGCCCTCTTGAGCCCCAGCACGGTGAGCAGACCTGATTGGCATCGGCCGGGAGTCTGCGCGTGCCTCGTGCCAGGGGCCCCAGGAGGCAGGTGCTGACCGAAACGGTATTATTTTGGCGATCTCGTGGGCCTCCTCCTCCTCCTCCTCCTCCTCCCTCCTCCCCCTCCTCCTCCTCCTCCTCCTCCTCCTCTTCCTCCTCCTCTGCGAACGGTCCGAGTCCCAGAACCGTGCGGTGATCCCTAAGTCGTCACTGACCCACCTCGCGGTGTGCTCACCACTGATCGGCGGCGAGCCCTCGGTATTATTTTGGCGATCTCAATGCGATCTCGTCCTGCAGCAAATTGGGGAACGAAGAGAATGGCATAAGCATACAATCTCGGAGGTCCGCGCGGGCCTCCGAGTGTTTTTTTTGTCTATGTCATTCTTCGTTCCCCTCACAGAGGCGGGTCGAAGACAAAACGAGGGAGCACGCCACCAAAACGAAAACGAACAACATTGTTTAGGTCGATCCATGCCAGGACTAGGGGAACAAAAAGTGACATAAACATAACAACTCGGAGGTCCGCGCGGATCTCTCGGATCGGCGCTGGGGCCCCCCGGCGGCGCCTCCGGCGCCGCCATTGCGCGCGCCCCAGCGCGGAGCCGAGAAGTCCGCGCGGACCTCCGAGTTGTTATGTTCATGCCACTTGTGGGTTCCCCTGAGGACGGCCCTGGGCCAGGTGCGGCTCTGGTGGGAGGCGTTCTCCGCCCGGGCTCTTCGAGCCGGCTCGGTCCGCGAGGGCCTCCGGGCCCGAGGCGGGCGGCGGGGCGACGCCGCCCCCGTCGCGCCCCCTGCCGCAGCGCCGGGGGCGTCGGGGATGGTGCGGCGAGCGCCCGCGCGCGCGTGCGTCGGGGGTCTTAGTGGGCCCTGGGCTCCTCCTCCTCCTCCTCCTCCTCCTCTCCTCCTCTCCTCCTCCTCCTCCTCCTCCTCCTCCTCCCTCCTTCCTCCTCCTCCTCCCTCCTCCTCCTTCCTCCTCCCTCCTCCTCCCCCTCCTCCCCCTCCTTCTTCTTTTCCTCCTCCTCCTCCTCCTCCTCCTCCTCCTCCTCCTCCCTGACAGGGCCGTTTTTTTCCCTGGCGCTGTTTTGCTGTTTTTTATTGGTTCCGACGCCGTTGTTTGACCGGTTCGACCCGGGTATTCTTTAGTCGGGCGTGTCTTTCTGCAGGAGGCATATTCAGAAATAGTCAAACATTCGTCTGGGGACGATCTTTGAATTATTTTTGACGATGGAACATTTTTGGACTATTTTTTATATTTCTTCCCAAATCCGCCTGTAGGAGGACATGCCCGACCTGGACGGTAATTGGGGTTTACAGAACGGTCCTGGGCGTTTCTTGAACAGCCATGCCCTGTTCCTTTCGGGCCGGACGAAAGGGGGGGATAAGGAAAGGGGGGGGTACGAAATCTGCTGCATGCAGCTGGTTTCGGCCTCACCGAGGGGCCCATTCCTCGATACATAGCCGCCTCTGGCGCCGGGAGGCGCCGGGAAACTCAGCTACGTGCGCTGATTCGCAGCCCCCCCTTTGCTATCCCCCCCTTTCGCCCGACCCGATCGTTTCCTCACTCTCGGGTGCGCCTGCTGCACGGCTTCGCTGGTCGCTGTGCTGATCCCGGGGGCGTGTTTTCCGTGCTCTGCTCCGGGGAGGCGCGAGGCCGTGCCAGGACGGAGGCTCCTCACAGGGCTTCTCTCGCAGGGCAGCCGGGGCTTCATGAGGCGGGGTGTGCCCCGAGAGGTGGCTGCCCTCCCCTCGCCCTCCCCCTCCTCGCGCGCCGCCGGCTCACCGCTTAGCACTGCCTCCCGCTCCCTGGCACCTCGCGGGAGGAGGAGGAGGAGGAGGAGGAGGAGGAGGAGGAGGAGGAGGGGAGGAGGAGGAGGAGGAGGAGGAGGAGGAGGAGGAGGGAGGAGGATAGGAGGAGGAGGAGGAGGAGGAGGAGGAGGAGGAGGGGAGGAGGAGGAGGAGGAGGAGGAGGAGGAGGAGGAGGAGGAGGAGGAGGAGGAGGAGGAGGAGGAGGAGGAGAGGAGGAGGAAGGAGGAGGAGGAGGAGAGGAGAGGAGGAGGTGGAGGAGGAGGAGGAGGGGAGGAGGAGGGAGGAGGAGGAGGAGGGGAGGAGGGACGGAGGCGGAGGCGGAGGCGGAGCCGGAGGCGGAGGCGGGTAGGGTGGGGGAGGAGGAGGAGGAGGAGGTGGAAGGAGGAGGAGGAGGAGGAGGAGGAGGAGGTGGAAGGAGGAGGAAGGAGGAGGAGGAGGAGGAGGAGGAGGAGGAGGAGGAGGAGAGAGGAGGAGGAGAGGAGGAGGAGGAGGAGAGGAGGAGAGGAGGGGGAGGAGGAGGAGGAGGTAGGAGGAGGAGGCGGAGGGGAGGAGGGGGAGGAGGAGGAGGAGGAGGAGGAGGAGGAGGAGGAGAGGAGGAGGAGGAGGAGGAGGGGAGGAGGAGGAGGAGGAGGAGGAGGAGGACGGAGGAGGGAGAAGGAGGAGGAGGAGGAGGAGACGAGGAGGAGGAGGAGGAGGAGGAGGAGGAGGAGGAGGAGGAGGAGGAGGAGGAAGAGGAGCTGGGCAAGATCAGGCACGACGAGGCGAAGCGCTGGGAGGCCGCCAGGGACAGGCCCTATTTCTTCGGCGGGGCTGGCAGGTCCTGCGAGGACGCGGTCTGGCTGCAGAGTTTCGATGCGGACCACGCGAAGACGCTGAACCTGGAGGCCGCGTCCACGCTCCTGGACCTCAGCAAGGCCTACGAGAGGGTCACGCACACGGGGATGGTCCACGCCGCGGGGAGGGAGGGCTTCCCGCTGAGGAGGGTCAAGATCCTCCTTCGCCTCTACGGAGGCAGGCGGCGCCTCTGCTTGGACCGATGGATGACGGAGGCCTTCCAAGTTTTCCTGTCGCTGCTGGCGGGCTGCTCCTTTGCCACGACGCTGCTCCGAGTGGTGTTGGTCGAGCCGCTGGACGCGATGTTGGCGTCCTGGCAGATGGTGCGGCCATACCTCGTAGTCGACGACATCACGTTAGCAGTCTATGCCAAGCGTGCGCAGCTGGAGCACCTGTTGGTCGGGGCCACCCGTGCCCTCTGCTTGGACCTGGAGGCCATCGGCTTCACCATTTCCTTGACGAAGGGCCAGGTTCTGAGCACCGACTCCGACATCGCCAAGCGTGTCGCCCACAGGCTCAGACGCTGGAAGTTCACGCACGTGAAGGCCACAAAGAACCTGGGCGTGGACTTCACCATGGCAAAGTCGGCCTCGTGGAGGGTGCTACGGCAGAGGATCGATCGCCTGAGCCAGAGGGCTGGGCGATACAGAGCCTTGCGCAAGGCGGGGGCCAAGAGGCTCTCGAAGGTTTTCAGGACAGGAGGGTTGGCTTCCATCCTCCACGGCGCGAGAGTCAGCGGAGTACCCACGAAGACCCTGCAGCGCGCCCGAGCAGTCAACGGCAGGGCCATCTCGGGCGAGATCGGCCAGAGATCCAGGACGGTGCTCTTCGCCCTACAGGAGGGCAAGGACTGGAAGCACGACCCAGCATACGCGGCGCACGTCCTCCCGTTGAGGGCTTGGGCTCGCGCCGTCTTCCTACGAGTGCGGCCCCCTGCGGTCTTCAAGCAGGTGCTGGAGTGCAGACCAGGCAACTGGGGCGAGGTCACGGGGCCAGCAGGGGCGGTCCGCCTCTCGCTGGAGCGCATCGGCTGGGAGCTGCTGGACTGGCACCGTTGGAAGGACGACCGCGGGCAGATCCTCGACATGCAGCTGCTCAGCCCGCGGATGGTGGCCAGCCTCGTCGAGAATGGGGCCCACCGCTACCTCATGCTGGAGATCGCGAGCCACGAGGGCTTCGAGCATCTCCAGGGCCGCCCGCCCAACCTGGAGCCGTTTAGGACGGCTCTGGCGGGCATGCGGCGCGCGGGCAGGTCGCAGGAGGCCGCGCTGGTGGAGGCGCACATGGCAGGGGGGCTCGTCACGCAGTCCGACCTGTACGGCGAGAGGGCGGAGCTCAGCCCGCTGTGCCAGTGGTGCGGGGAAGCACCAGGCACGGCGCACCACAGGCTGTTCGCGTGCCCCGCCATCGCCTGCTGGGCGCGTGACCTGGGCTTCCAGGAGATCGCCGACGCAGGCAGGAGGGCGCCGCAGGACGACCTAGGCCTGGTGAGGGGCCTCGTCAACCTCGGGCTGGACCAAGCCCCGCCCCCTGGCATGGACGAGCTCTGCCACCGCGCAGGTTGCGCGCGCCGCGGCTTCCTCGAGGGTGTCATCTGCATCGACGGTTCCGCGATGTACCCAGAGGCCCCGTGCCTGACACGCACGGGATGGGCAGCAGTGGTGGTGGACGACGTCGGGAACACCGTCGGCGGGCTCTTTGGGCTCACGCCAGGCTGGATCCAGGAGATCGGCTACGCGGAGCTCTACGCGCTGCGCAGGGTCCTGGAGGAGGTCGGCCCATCGCCCATCACGGTCTATACGGACTGCAAGGGGATCAAGGACGACTTCGAGGCAGGTCGAGGTCGCTGCTGCGGCCCAGGCCACAAGTACGCGGACCTGTGGAGGCGGATCTGGCAGCTGCTCGACGACCTCGGCCCTGGGTTCCTCACTGTGACGTGGTTGCCGTCGCACACTTCGTGGGCCAGGGCCAGCGCTGCAGGGGTGCCGTGGCCAGCCTTCGCGGGCAACAGGGAGGCCGACGTGAAGGCGAAGGAAGGGGCCAGGCTGCACCCCAGGCAGGAGCGGCTGCGTGAGTTGAGCCGCCGCCTAGACGCCGCCACCGTGCAAGCAGAGGCCTGGTGTGGCCACCACGGGGGGATCCTGAAAAGACTCGCCGACCTCGGATGGCCCGATCGGGGGGCCATCCCTAGGCCCAGGGGCGCGGATCCTGGGACCCTGGCCCTGGTGGGGCCCGACAGGGGCCACGCCCTGGCCAGGCTCGGTCGAGCCTGGGGCTGTTCGGTCTGCGGGATCCGTCGGGCTACCAGGGCCAGGGTCGTCGCCAGCGCCTGTCCAGGACTCCCGTGGTTGGTCGCCAGGTCCCACCCGTCCCACAGGCTCTGGGTGATTCGGGGCGGGGACGGGCCGGGTCGGAGGTCCTCTGGGACGGGTGGCTGTCTCGTGTTTTGTCGGACGTGCGGGGCCCACGGGAGTCGCCAAGCGAAGCTCCTGGCCGACCCCTGCGTCCCGCTGGCCAGCAAGGGCCGCGACGCGGCTCGCCTGGCCCGCCGCGCCCTCGAGCACCTCAGAGCGGGGCGGGAGCCCCAGACAGGAAAGCCGCTGGGGGGCGGTCCCTTTCCCCGTCTCGAGGGCGGCGGCGAGGAGGGTTTAGTTTGCTAAGTTTTGGCTCGGACTCCAAGGGGCCCTCCCGCGCCAGGCTCCCTTGCCTGGCGGGTCCTGGGTCTGCCGTGGAGTGTTTTGATCCCCGTTCGGGGCCGAGGCTGGTTTGCGGAGCGGACCGCCTTCTGGTAGGAACTAGAGGAACTAGAGGAGGAGGAGGAGGAGGAGGAGGAGGGAGGAGGAGGCGGAGGCGGAGGCGGAGGCGGAGGAGGAGGAGGAGGAGGCGGAGGAGGCGGAGGGGGAGGCGGAGCAGGAGGAGGAGGAGGAAGAGGAGGCGGAGGAGGCGGAGGAGGCGGAGGAGGCGGAGGAGGAGCAGGAGGAGGAGCAGGAGGAGGCGGAGGAGGAGTTGGAGGAGGAGGAGGAGGAGGAAGCAGAGGCGGCACAGACATGTATGTTTGACGGTCCGCTCGGCGGCGCTGGGACCCCCTCCCGGCCCTCGCAGGGCGTGCTCTCGCAGAGGCCCCTGCAAAGCCCACTGGCCACCCCGACGGTTAAGTCCGGCATATCTCTCTACAGGAGGAATATCCAAGAGTAGTCACAAGATAGTCTGGTGACGATTCTTCGTTCTCTTTTCACTATGTTTGATTTTTTCGATTTTCTCATACAGCAGATTCTCGTTCTCTAAAGTCCGCCTGTAGGAGGACATGCCCGACCTACGTAACCCAGTGGCCAGGAGGGACCAGAAGCAGCCAGCGCGGACCCTCCCGAGGCAAAGGATACCAGCCGACGCTGGCTGCTTTGCCCCTATTCTGAAGGATGGAGTTCCTGCTAGTACTCTGACCGCGCCGACTCCTCACACCTCCCTCCTCCTCCTCCTCCTCCTCCTCCTCCTCCTCCTCCTCCTCATGGTATGGTATGGTATGGAATGTTGTGGTTTGTTAGGTTGTATTATGTCATGCTGTGTTATGGTATGCTATGTTATGGTACGGTCTGTTATGGTATTGCATGTTAGGTTATGCTATGATTCGCACTGCTATGATAATGTATGCTATGTTCGGTCATGCAGTGCTGTGCTACGTTATTCTATGGTTCGTTGAGGTATACAACGTTTCGCTGTTTTATGCCATGCCATACCATGGCCTGTCATGCCATGCTAAACTAGGTTAGCTTCCCATATCCTTAGGATGTGGTTATTGTTGTTAGCGACCGCGCCGAGAGAAGGAACACCTTGCACCTCCTCCTCTTTCTGAACATGCTATGTTATGTTACGTTCCTCATATCCAAAGGATGGGGTCTTGCGCTTCCCCATATCCGTAGGATGGAGCTCTTGTTTTTTTTCCGACCGCGCCGAGAGCCACCTCCTCCCTCCTCCCCCTCCTCCTCCTCCTCAGGCTAAGTTATGCTATGACCTGGCATAGTCTGGCATGCTATGGTTTATGCTATGTTATACCATGTTGCGTTATGGTAGTGTATTGTATGGCATGCTATGTTGTGAAAGGGTATGGCATGGTATGCGATGGTATGCTATGGTGCACTACATGAGGATCTGCTGTGTTATGCTATGCTGTGG